GCAGAGGAGGGCTGTGAGGAAATGATCTTCAGCTTGGGTTCTGCTTGTAAATTAAAATTGCCCTCTCTCCCCAAAATTCAGTTTCTCAGAAGTGGGTTAAAATCAAGAAACTGGTTTTTCTTCTTCAAGATAAAAATTTACTGAGAATAACTGTATCTTTCATTTTCGTTAAAAACCTAGGCGATACCATGTAGACTTTCCACGTACTCTTTGGGCACATTCATATATATACACACAGTAAACGAGCAGATTTATGCATTGTGCACCACAGTTGTTTCAATACTGTTTGGTGTGACCATGCAGCACAGAACATGTGATATAGAGGCATTTGCAATGTGGTTGCTCAGTTTAGTAGCAGGTAGTTTGGAAGATTTGGAATATGTTACCCTGGGACTGAGGTGAAGGACGGTAGACTGCATCTGCTGAGTTTGGACTTTGACTTCAGGTTGTCTGCTTCCAACCCTGGTTCCATTAACTGTCATGATCTTAAGTCAGGACACTTAACCCCTGAGTTGGGATGTGAAGATTTACTTGTAGGTGGCTTGTCTTTAGATGGAAAGGTCAAGCCTTCTGATTATCTAGTACAGGGCCTGACCCCAGCCTGACAATGATCATTGTTAGTGATGTTGCAGTTTAGATGTCATTCAAAGTTAATGCTTTGTGAGGACCCTGTCTGTTGTTTCCTGATGAATGTTGTGTGCTTAGCACAATGCCTGACTAAAATGTCCATAGTAAATATTGACTATTAGCTGAATTAACCTTTCAATGAAAAAAAAAAAACATGGCTATGTTTTCAAAAAAGTTTAGTAGTGGTTTGAAAAAAAATGCGTGCATCAGGGTTGCCAAGATGGCTCAGCAGGTAAAGGTGCCTACTGCCAAGCCTAAAGACCTGAGTTCACCCCCAGGACTCACATGGTGGAGGATAGAACCAACTCCTATAAGTTGTCCCAAGACCTCCACACATGCACTGTGGGCATACACTTGCCTACACATATGGGGGGGGCACATGTATGTGTGCACACACATAAAAGTAATAAAAATTGCCAGGCATAGTGGTGCACGCCTTTAATCCCAGCACTTGGGAGGCAGAGGCCGAAGATCTCTGTGAGTTCAAGGCCAGCCTAGTCTCCATAGTGAGTTCCCAGACAGCTGGGGCTACAGGGAGACCCTGTCTCAAAAAGATAAAAAAAAAGAGTAATAAAAATTAGAATGCATACATACATCAACTATAGCCTTGTGCTTGTTAAATAAAGTCTAAGCAATGTTCTCACTTACCTATGGGTAGCCTACTGTGTGTAGTATTTTATGTGCTTAAATAATAAAAGTATTCCTATTAAAGTACATCTCATAATGTTTAAATATATAGCTTCTTATTTTCATCAGGGATCTTACATGAATCAAGACAGAGTTGTGACATTGTTTAGTTGTAGTCATACTCTGGGTATGTGTTTTCTCTTGACTGGTTTCTAGCAAAGATAGAGGGCTTAGTCTATTTGCCGATATCCCAGCAAAGGCCACCCACTGGGAAGGCCTTCCTGTGTGATGACTGGTTCCAGTCAGTGTGAAATTGATTGTTTTGCTTGAATTTCTGATGCTTCCTCATGGTAGGTGGACAAGAGTGAAGTGTCTGCTTCTCTTTACTCTGCTTGTTTTACCCCCTGAAAAGGTCAGCATCCCCTCCTTACAGTTTCATGACTTGTGTGCAGTGATGGATGGTGATATAGAAGCCATAAAGTTTGTACCAAGAATTTTTAGTTTCTATAAGATAGACTTTAACATTCCTTTTAGACCTAATTGGAGGGACAGCTGAGGGGAACTGGTCCTTCCTGTAAGCTCGGTTGCCAGCCCCTGTCAGAAGGGAGTGTGTCAGTGTGATGGCGCTCTTCCTATGCTGTGAATTGTTTTCCCTCTTCATTTGTCTTTAAAAGTTGATGCCTTTGGGGCTGGAGAGGTGGCTCAGTGGTTAAGAGCACTGACTGCTCTTGCAGAGGACCTGGGTTCAATTCCCAGCACCCACATGGCGGCTACGAACCGTCCTTAACT